AATGCCAAAGGCGGTGCAGCTACCCGCATATGACAGGGAGGAATAGCTGAGGTTGTCACAAGCTACCATCACTCACATATGCCAGCTCCTCCAGGAAGGTCTGCATCCATGTTAATTTGAAGCAATCATTGCTGGTCACACTTAAAGTCATTCTAACCTTCGCTAGTGGTTTTTTTTTCAGTGCTGTGCTTGGTCCATGTAAGGAATAATGCAGTCAGCCACTCATAATGCATTAGAGAAGTCACCAATGCCTTGTGCCAGTGAATATGTTTGGTTCAACACAGAGCCTAAGAGCCTGGCAGCCAGATCTGTGGGAATTGCTGCCCTCACTAATTTTCCACAGGTGAAAGGGACAATAGATTGCCTACATGTAATGCTAAGAGGCCCCTGGGATTAGCCAGTGTCTTTCATCAAGTGAAAAGGTTTTAACTCTGTCAATGTGCAGCTGCTGTGGGATCACTCAGAACATTTTGTTCAGGGAACTCTCATGATTCTTGTATCCTCACTGACTCACAGGTGCCACAAATGTTTGTTCCCACTCAGCACCTGACTCCTGGATGACAGGAGATTTTCACAGTCAGCATGGCTCACAACACCAGGGGGGATCCCACAAAGTGTAGCACAGTAGATTTATTATACCTCAACATGTGCTCTAATAAAAGAGACCATTGGATTGTGAAAGGTGAGGTACCACTGCTTGGACTACTTAGGTGAAGTGCTGCAGTATTTGCCAGGAAGAATATCCATGATTATTGTGATCTCCTGTGAATGAACATCCTCTCTCATCAAAGGGGCAGGAATTTGTGGGAGTATGGATTGGCTGGGTGTCTCCTCTGTTGGTGAGGAAGGGGTAAGCAATGTTCATGAGGAAGAAGACAGCGTGAGTGCATCAGCAGATGGCAGGGCAATGGTGCGACACACTGACTGAGTTTTGCATCTCATCTACAATGTCTATCTGAGAGGCAGTTGAGGCTTTTGTTTTGACATTTCATCAGAGCAAGGAAATACTACTCTATTGTATTCTACTGCCTCTTAACTAACCTGCTGATTTACCTGTGAGTCTGAGAGGGAGCAGACCTGTTTGGAAACAGTTTCGAAGGAGACAATATAAATCAAAACAATGGTGTCCTCAGTTGTGCCTGACCTTAGAAGCTAAAAATGACAGTGAATCGAGTACAACATATTAAGGATTATTTTAGAAATACTTGACAAATAAGCAGCGAAGACAAATGGAAGTTTATTGTGCTACGAGGCCCAGGATTTCTTGGAATGTTGCCAACATAGGAAATTTCTTAAGTGATGTTATATTGAACTGCGTCTCAGAAAAATTATAACCGCAGAAGCTAGGGTAAAACTATGCCACAAAATTACTGAGTTTCCAAATCTTATTCCTAACTCCAAGGGAGTCTTATTCCTTGTTTGGAAATGGTTCAAAGTAACTCTTTCCACAGGCTAAATGAGAGGATCAGGTGTTACTCCACCTTTGTAACTAGAGTCACGTAGGCTAAACATATTTCATCTCTTATTTCCTAGGGCTGATGAGCTAACAGTTATTTGTGCAAACAAATGTCACATCTTTCAGACACAGAGAAATTGTATGGTCTTACTTCTTTTAAACCAATAATGCCAACAATTGTAAAGCCATTTGCCTAACATTCTCAAGAACACCAAGCAATTAAGAACAAATGTTTCCAGTGGAACATCAGAATGTCGTTTTAAAATATTGTTGTTTTGTTCTGCAGATATAGTCAATTGACCAAGTCACTGAGCAAATGAAAACCTTTTCAAAATATTTCAAAATGTCAACATTCTTATTAAAGATAGGTGTCATACAGTTAGTTCAAGATGTCAAGTTCAAACATTTGCCTTATTTTTAAAATTGACATATAAACCCTAAATTGCAGCTAGTATAATTAAAAAAGGCACAGTTGCTCTTTTTTACATCAGTTGCTTAATTGATCCCCAACAATGTTTAGGTCATTTAAGCCATATCTTGCAAATTGCTGTCATTTTAATTATTTCCATGGCAGACAATCAAAAAAAAAATTTAAAAAGATAGCTCCATCCAAATCCTAACATGTTATTTCAAACCAATAGCACCTCAGGAATTAGCTGTATAGTAATTTTCCCAGTATCCAGCACATACAGAGAAGGATGGTGCCGGTTACCAGAATCTACCAGTTGCATGAGAAATACTAGTGGTGCCTGGGAGAACTTGAATTGTCACTGCCACAAGTTTGAAAAATGATCAGCCAGGACTGCTCATAAACATGGTATACCTGGCTACGATTGGTGATTCTATATATTTATTGATAAGTCTAAAAGTATTTTTCATAAAGCATCTGATCCATTATTCCCACCCAGTTGCTAATACAGGAAAGTCCCCGTTATAAGGATCCCAAGCATCCAGAATTCTCCCTTTGAATCTCAGATGTTGGTTGTATGAGAATTCTGAATGCTTAGGATCTGAATAATGTGGATTTTACTGTGTAAAAAAAATCTTATAAGAGTGTTGATGAAACAATCTCTGGCACGCTGTGTATAATTTTAGTCACCTTACTTAAGGAAGGATATACTTGCATTGGAAGCAGTTCACAGAAAGTTCACTGGGCTGATTCCTGGGGTGAGATTTATCATGAGGTAAGGTTGAGCAGGTTGGGCCTATATTTTTTAGAGGTTGAAAGAATGAGAGCTGATGTTATTTTAACATATTGGACTCTGAAGGAGCTTGGTAGGGTAAATCCTGGGACAATATTACATCTCATAGGCGAATCTAAAACTAAGGGCGAGGTTTCAAAATAAGGGCTCTCTCATTTAAACTAAAACAAAAGTCGTGAATTTCTTCCCTGCTCCCTGAGGAACTGCTGAGAAGAGTTGCAGCCTGGGATTGGCTTCCACCCACCATCCACCCTCAGCCCTGTCCTTAATGGTGGAGAGGGGAAGCGAAGTCTGCTTTTTCACCTGTCAATTGGCATAAGCCACTGGGAAAAAGAGATGCAGGGTTCTCACTGGCTCTTCAACTGGCGACCTCCACAAAGAATTAGCTCATTGTGCCCTTATAAATTGCCAACCCCTGTGTTTCATAACATGCTTTTTAAAGTCATATCCTGAGACCATCCCAAAGAATTTTATCAGAGATAGTAAGAACTGCAGATGCTGGAGAATCTGAGATAACAAGGTGTGGAGCTGGATGAACACAGCAGGCCAAGCAGCATCAGAGGAGAAGGAAAGCTGACGTCTCGGGCCTAGACCGTTCTTCAGAAAACTTCAGAAAAGAATTTTCTTCAGAAAATAATTTTATGTCGTTTTGTTTGAGAAAGGAAACCAGTGCGTACACAGTAAATACTGAAGGTTAGTCACACAAACGTTGGCCAGAACGAAGCAAGAACTGTTTGATCTTGAAATAGTGGGAGGAGCTTTCATGCCTCCACTAAGACAAAGTGTCGATTTTAAGGCCCCTCTGAAGTACATCATTGGTAAAAAGTTGCCTAAGGGGGCGTCTTTATTCGTGCTGCTTTGTAGGATTGCTGGTGGCGTGTTTTACTTTAAGTATTGAATTGGACTTATGAGCTAATGTGTCGTTCTTTCTTGTCTTTGGCTGTTAATGTTACCTTTGAGTCTCGGGCGCAGTGGTAGTGCCCTTACCTCTGAGCCAGGAGGTCTGTGTTCAAGTCTCATCTGCTCCAGCGATATGTAATAACATCTCTAAACAGGTTGATGGAGTCTAAGTAAGTAAAGTAAACCAGTCGGTCAGTGATAGCTCCTCCACATTTGCGGATACGAACAAGACTGCTAACACTGGGCAGAGCTACTCTGCTGCCAATTTGAAATGTTTATTAAGCGTAGAATCAACACGGCATCAGAAACTAGTTTGAGAGACACCATCTGCTAATGCTGCTTACTGAGCAACAGACAAGCGTTCACTTCACATGACCGGATTTGTCGATCAGCCCCAGATTAGGGTTTGCAGGGAGAGATTAAGAGCAACAGCTTGGTTCGTTTTACCTTCAGATAGTCACTGACATATCACCCCCTCTCCCCCTAAATCTGCCCGGAAATCCGAATTTGGTACCGGACAAATGCCAGGCACTCCCCAGTCTGGACCCCAGCACCTTAACCCCTCCCCCAACTGTTTTTAATTGATCTGGGTTCATCACCATTTCTATTTAAATGTTGGGCACAAACAGGATGAACTCTCTGAATCAGGCTTATTTTGTCTAATTATTCAGAACGTAATGGAAACACCTCAGGCTCCGATTAAACCCTGAACGATTCTGCTCGCTGTAGAAAGCGGATGAGATTTTGAACTGGTGGGGGGTGGGGGTGAAATCGGGTTGCATCAGTAAGCTGAACCAGCTCGGTGTTTATTTTTAGCCGCCGCTGGTCACAGGGAAAAATAGAATTAAATAGCGGTTTATGCAAATCCATTGAAGATCCTCTCCCCTGGAACTGGATTGAATTTTCAGGACAAGGTGCGGGAAGCAAATACTAATTCAACGTTTGTTTTTTTTTAAATGCACAGAACAGCACACGTTCAACATCTTCAAGTAGTCTTGGCGGCGCAGAAGCCAACAGTGTTCGAGAACACAGCTCCATCCTGCGGCTTTGAGTTAAAGATAGGATTCAGATCCTGATATGACTTACGAAAGGAAACGCACCAGGTCCATTGGGCGGTCAGTGAACTCTCAGGATATTGTTTGAAAAACATCGTTAACAGTCGGGCAGGGTTTGAGGTGGTGTGTGTGTGTGTGTGTGTGTATTGGAGGGGGAGTGTGTAGGGGGATGGAGAGAGGCGAGCCGCCTTGGGTTTGGACGGACGTCGATTCCAAGCACGTTTCCACTAGATGCCTGTTGTTTTCTTTTAAAGTTCCCCTTGCAAACCCTCGCATTTCCTTATGCCAATCAGCAGCAGGCTTTCTCACTTTTACTTGGCGCCACCTTTTTTTCCTGATCGTCATGTTGAAAGTGGGAGCTGAGTGTCTGGCTCTGCTGTGGGTAGTTTTTTTTTGCCTGTGGTACCTTGGAAGCGAGCGGGACTGTACTGGGAGAGCTATGCAGAAGCAGCTCTGGCTTCTTACCTAGTGAGCTGCTTTCGGGTGTGAGACGTGAGTTGTTGCTTTGAGGGTTGGGGGGGGGGGGGGTCAATGCGCAGGCGTCATTAATCTGTCCCTGGTACAAGACTCTGGGTTAGGATGGGATCATTCTCTGCTCTCATCTCTCTGTCTCTCTCTGCACGTCTGGACCAGCCAATATAGGGGAACCCGCACAGCGCGCTGCAGCTCTCGCAACGTCCAGCGCCTGAGCTTTCACAGTCGCTAACTTCTAGTTGTGTTTTCTTCTGTCCTACCCTCTCCTCACCCCCGATCTCTGCCCCTCTCCCTCCCTCCTTCCTTCCGTCCCATCCGCCTCTGCCTCCTCAGTTGTCTCCGAAGCTCCTATCTCCAGCCCGGAGCTGCCGCCGAAGCTTAAGCACCCGGGGGAAGGCCAGCTCAGGGTCGGTTTTTGGATGGCAATGACATGGAGGAAATACCGTTTCGCAAAGTCAGGACAAGAAGGAGGAACTGTCCGTGCGCCCCGGGCTCGCCCCTCGACACCATCAGCTGCGAGGACGAGTTTGACTGTAAGGAACTAGAGTCCCTTTTCCAGAATTACAACCTGAAACTGGAGCAGACCGCTACCCTCAAAGCTCTAGCCATCCTCATCATCATGACGGCCACTCTGGCCATCGTGGAGTTACTGTCCGGCCCGCGGCTTACCATCTCCAAGGGCTCCCACCCGGTGCACTGTATCATCTTCGTGTCGCTGTTTATTGTCACCAACGTAAAGTACCTCCAAGTCACCCAACTACAGCAGATCGTCAAGCTCAGCTTGCTGTTCAGCTTCACCTTCTCCTTCCTGTGCTGCCCGTTCTCGCTCGGAGCCTACGGTTGGGAGACGCCGACCTCCCCGGAGAGCGGCATGTGGCAGCTGATGCTGGTCACTTTTGTCGCTTACTCGCTGCTGCCGGTGCGGACCTTGCTGGCCATTCTGTTCGGTCTGATCGTGGCTGTGTGTCACATCATAGTGACTGCCACCTCAGTGTCATCCAGCAATCAGCGGCTCTGGCGCACGGTAAGTCCCCTACCAAACAAAAAAAAAACCCTCACTGTCCTCTCAGCGCAAGGACGGCGGCTTTTTGTTGCTTTTCGTTTCAAAATAGAAGTCGGATTTTTTTTTAACAGAACCCCCCCCCCCCAAACGCGTTCTATTCTCAATATCCTCTGAACCATTTCCTAATTTATTCCCCCCCCACCCCCAGAAAACTATTTTCCATTTTCCAATTAAACCGAGCTACAGTTCCCAGGCCACGGGGCAACTTTCAAACTTTTGTGCTTTTTTTGCTCGTTTTGCTGCCGTTTTAGGGGGAGAGGTTTCACTGGAGTTGCGCTCGGTTTACGCACCTCCATCCAAACACAGAACTTTGGCCGTGATCTTAACCCCACTGCTCAGTGAGGCTAATGTGCGGGGCTCGCTTTACCAAACCGCCCCCCGGCTCTCATGAACATGCTGGGTCACGTAGAGATTACAGTTTTCTCCATCTTCAGCCCCCACCATTCGACCTCCCCTTTCCCCTGAATTTGGAAAACAAAAGGGTCTGAGAAGGTTTCAGTAAATACCGGCTCATTGTTGATTCTGTGCGGACCTTGGCGATAACTCTACACAGTACCCAGCGCACTGATCAGCCGTGAGAGCTGTAAACCCGTCCACAGAAAACAGGGTCGGCAATAAAACAGCTCAGATCGGGATTTACGGATCCCAGGCCCCGACCGCCTGGCCTTCACAATGCTTTTGTTCATCCGCCGATTGACTAGAGTCAAACCCGGCATTCACTTCGAAGTTTATGCTAGAAACGATCTCGATGCCTTATTCCAATTGTAAGTCACTGATTCAAGCATTGCTTCGATGCTTTTAGATAAACTTTAAAACCGTCTTCCCCTACCCTCCAAGCCCACAATTTTGCAACTTTGTTCAGGACATTGACAATTTGGCCAAAGGGGCTGGCACCTGGCAGATGAATTTCAACACAGAAATATGAGGTTATATATTTTGGTAGCAGAAATAATCAGAGACAAACGATACAACTTGGAGGGGAGCACAGGAACAGAGGGACCTCAGAAATCACGTGCATGATTCCCTGAAGGTGGCCAGGCAAGTTGAAACAGTTAAGAAAGCTTGTAGGATCCGTGGGTTTATAAATAAAGGTAAAAAAGTATTACGGCAAGAAGTGATGCTACACCTCTCCAAATCATTGGTCAGACCACTTTTGGAGTGTTGTGTTCAGTTCTGGGCACCGTGTTAAGAGATGGATGTTAAAAGTTCAAAGCAGGCATATTAGAATGATACCAGGAATGAGAGACTTAATAGATACAAGGAAAAATTAAAGATATTTGACTGTTTCTCCTTGGAGCATTTAAGATTAAGAGATGACCTAATTTGAGCTGTTCATAATTATGAACAATTTTGACAGGGTGAAGAAGTTTCCACTAGTTGGTATGTTAGTAACTAGGGGTGCCAATTTCAAGAATGTCGGCAAGAAAGCTAGGAGCGAAATGAAGAGAAACTCCTTTGCTCAAAGAGTGAAGGCATAGGAAGTTTCAAAAGAGAGCTTGAAGTATATTTGGAATTTAGAGGACAACGGAGACAGGGCTGGAAGATGGGACTAGCTTGCTGTTTAAGGAGCCGGTACAGTCACATTGGGTCAAATGGCCAACTTCTGTACAATTCTATGATAATTCACGGATAAATCAGTAAATTTTAGGGCTTGGATATCTTATGGCGATCACTGACTGGAAAAACTGTCGTTTTGGGACAAATAACAGTAAATGAGGGCAATTTTGGACTCCGGATGCGTTCAGATCAATAACAAAATTTGGCGGTGTCACCGGAAAACTGAGTAAAGTAAGAGCAAGGGAGTGTTTGTTTTGAAGAGAGCGCAGAATTGGATGGTTGGTGAATGAGAGAGAGTGTGTGTGTGTAAAATGATTAGCCTTGATTTATTTCACCAATTACAGTTACTTCGAAAAACTTCGGAGGAGTTGCCAGATTTACTCCACAATGTAACAGCACCTGAGAAAATACTCAGCTGGCTTTTTTTTGTGCGCATTATAATTTTATTGGTGCTAGCTGCCCATAGAGACAAAAAGACAAAGTGGAAAGTATAATTTGCAGTAAAGGCCAGTCCAGTGTTTGTTCACTTTCCACTGGCTTGCGATGAGAGCCATTCATGAATCTTCCGGCGGGTGGTTGAGTAAAGCACGTTCCCTTTCAGTGTCCCATTCACGCTGAAGTGCTGACTCTCCCACTGAAACTTCCGCTCAATGTGGACAGTGTGTGGCCAGGGGATTCTCGGTCCCGCAATGAAGTCAACGATACCATTCGTGTTTCCAACAACTTCCCAATATGTGTTCCTGCAATTCAGTTCGCTGGTATATTCAATCTATCTATGTCGACCACATAACTATTGCTTATCTGAATAATACCTGTTCCTTCACCATTGAATTTTCCAGTTTTGAGTTAATTTGTTCTCACAGACTTCCAAAAATCTCCAAAGAGCCCGCCGTGACACCAAACTCACCCAGCCCCGTTTGAATACAGGGAGAATGTCCGTCTTTTGTTTTTGACTGGTGTTAATCGATTGCTAGGGTCTCAGACGCGCCGACTGATGGCAACATGTTGTTTGTTTCCCTCGGTAGCTTGTGGCCAACGCAGTTCTGTTTGCCAGTGTGAATGTGTCCGGGGTGTTTGTCAGAATCCTCACGGAGAGAGCCCAGAGAAAAGCCTTTCTGCAGGCGAGGAACTGCATTGAGGAGCGACTTCGTCTGGAAGATGAAAACGAGAAACAGGTCAGTAGGGGAGGAAGTGTGAGAAGTCATAGGTTGCGCGGAAACGGAGGGACAAAAAGGAGAGATGTGGTTGAAGGATAGGGTGGGGCTGTGTATCATCATGTGACGGAAAGTCGACGGTTCTTCTCCCATGTGCTGTAAGTTTAACAGAAATGAAAATCTAACGTAACATTTATATGGAAATGGTAAAAATAAATGAAAAATCAGCATAATTTTTATTTGTTGAAACACAGGAAACAAACTGGTACGAAATTGAGAGATTGTGCAATATTTGTGATGTCTTGTGGGATTACTAGAATTGCAAACCAATTGGGCTGCAGTTGTTGCAAGCACCTCACATTACTACACCAGTGTTTACATTTACCTTTTTAATAGCCATGGTTTAGCTTAATCTGAAAAGGCTATTGAAACATTCAACATGCCATTTTTCAAAAACAAATTCCCACACCTTATTGTTTCCTATTTCGAGGATATTTTGATTTATCCAAGTGTTTTCTTTAATTTCTGACAACTGGTATCAGAACTGCAAAATACATCTACAACCTTAAAGGGCCAAAGTAAATAATAAAAGGAAAAACAGCTGTAAAAACCAGAAAACATAAATTAATCAAAGAAATTTTTGAGTATTCAATGGGCCTGCCCACCAGCATCTGTGCAGAGAAGATATGGCTTAAAGCCTTGAATTCCCTGACCTTTCTGTCCCAGGACTATCACAACTTTAGCAGAAGGGAATCAGTTTTTGCAACTCATTACATATCTGCTATAGGGTTGACTTGTCCATTCACAATACAAATGATATCTGACCTGCTAAATGTTTCCAGCATTTTTTGGTTTTGCAAAAGGTTTAGTATTTTGCTTGTCATTATTATATTAATTACAATCAATCAATTGTTTATTTATTCTGCATTAAGGGAAGACTTCAGGTTTCTGAAGCTATTTCCATTAAAACAAAGAAGATTAAATGAGCTCTTTTTGGTGTTCAAAATTATGATGATCTTTCAAACTGTAAAGAGAGAAAAATCTATTTATCTGGTTTGAAAATCAATGATGAGGTTTGAAAATTTAACATCTTCACGAGGAGAGCAAGGAGAAATTGCTTTATTAGGGAACAACTGCTTTTCAAAGATATTGACTTTGTTAGAGGTCATTGCACTTCTAAAAGAAAAATAGATAAATATTTAAAGCAGACAACAGTACAAGACTATGAAATTAGTTTGAGATTGTTTTTGACAAGAGCCAACATGCCACAATGGTAGTCTTATCCTTTAATGTCATTTTGCTGTGGTGTATGTCTTCAAGGATTATTATAAGAAGAATAATGTATTGACTTTTATGTCTTAACAGTCTTTTGATGGAAATTAAGTTGCTTCCTAATGAAGCAAAGCTTTCAGAATGACAGATTACAAAGTGGAGGTTCAGGTCCAAAGCCCAAAAATAACACTGGCCATACTCACAAAATGAAATGTCATATAGCTGTGCAGTTTCCCTTTTCAACTTAAGGGCATGTGGTTTGAATGAACAATCAAAATAATTGTTGACAAATATTAGAATGAAAGTTATAGCGTGGTAACAGCATATACATTGATCACAAACTAAAAGTATCATCATGCAGACATTTTTAAACAAATAAACCTGTGTCCTGTGTCAAAACATTCTGGATCATAATGGTCAGAAAACTAAAGGTAAAAGCCTGTGAAATTAGTAATTGTTTCCTCCTTAGCTCAGTGATACAGACCACATGACAAAACGTAGCAGTTTGGTATTATTAGTTACAGCACTTCTGACAATAAGATGCCTGTTTTGGGGAATGAATATCAATTTTGGCACAAACAGAAAACTTAAGTTCCCAGACCAGAAGGAATTAGTTCTCGAGTTGAATTCATAAAATTTGTTTGGCTCCAGGAGCCAATGAAAATATCAAATTAAAGTAACATTGGGTATGCTGGTAGCTATGTTGCATTAACCAAAGGGTCTTCATTCTCATTTTCTGTGCAAAGATGTCTTTGTTTATTCTGAACTGATTGATAATTGTTGAAGGTAGAAATGCTTTCCTGATTACAGTCAGAAAAAAAATCTTGTGCAGCACATTAAAATCGATCAGTTCAAAAAAATCTGTATAGTTGCAGACCTTTCAAAGGTGGCCAATTAACAACTGAAAATTGTGTAACTTAAGGGACTTCTAGGACACATGTTCTTTGGTATTATTTTGCTTGATGACAATAGAAGTATACCCACTTCAGTGAAATGCCAGTAAGATTGCTACTGCACCGTTCTTTGCAAAATGTTTAGTCATAAAACTGGCGCAATGTTTTAAACAACAGCGTGCATCATATAAAGGAGAATAGGTCCCTTCGTTATAAACACTTCATGCAGAGCCGCTTTGCTCTCCTGCCGAGCTACCAGTTCAATTTGTGAATTTTCCATGCAGTCTTGTGTTAATATATATGTAGCTGAGCATCCATGTTTGTTTTAATTTGCTTGTTGCAAATTTTACACCGTGCATAATCCCAAACTATTATATTTCCACAATTATGTATTCTCACCAATAATTTTTACTTTATCATGTATAATGAAGTTTAGATTAGCAGATACAGTGATGGTGCAAATTATTTCCATAATGGAAGTATGAGACTGGTGTGATATTTTACAAGTAAAATGTTTGTTTTACGAAATGTATGATTTACATGATTATGACCTTCAATTCCCAAAAGGAGCCAATTCATAAGAAAGACTTAGAAAAGCCATTAAAATTAATTTTAAAATGTGATTTCCTTCAGGGAAATCCTTTATTCACAGGATTATTTTTTCCTTCACTCATGTATGGCATGCTGGTGTTACTAGCAAAGCAAGTATTTGTTGCCCATCCCTCTTTACCCTTGAACAGAAATGCTCTTTAGACCATTTTAGGGGAAAGTATAGATTCAACTGTATTTTGTGCATCTGAAGTCACATGTGGTACAATCCGAGTAAGGACAGCAGATTTGCAATCTTAAAGGATATTTGTAAAACAGATAGTTTTCTACATAATTCTTATGATCATTAGGCTCACTTTTAACTTCAAATTTTAACTGAATTCATATTTCACTATCTGCAATAGTAGGATTTGAACCCACTCCCCAAAACATTACCTTCAGGCTCTGGATTGCAGGATTATTGTCCAATGACATTAGGAATACAACCATCACCTCCCTCTTTTGTAATTGTGCAAATTGTATGATATAACAGTGTACACAATACTTTTGGGAAATCAATGGAATAAAATTGCACTAATGCACATTAATTCACATGCAAATGAATAAATTATAGTCGACAAAATAGATACAAGTTCAGAAATTTCTTAAATCTGACACCTGAATATTTAATAAGTACTTTAAAATGTTCTAATAATTTTATAGCTACATATTAAGATTGTTGGTGATATGTAATTTATCACAGGAAAGACTTTTAATGAGCTTGCTGCCCAGAAATGTGGCGATGGAAATGAAAGAGGATTTTCTGAAGCCTCCAGAAAGGATATTTCACAAAATATACATCCAAAGGCATGACAATGTCAGGTAAATGAGTCTTCTTTTATATTTTGTCTTTCAGTGCTATTGCAACTGTTATTTATCTGTAGTTGATGTTCATGATTAATTACCTTGAGATACACAATTGCATGTTCTTGCCCTCATGCACCGTAGAAGTCCATAGGACATCACATGTAACCTTAATAACAGAACACTGTAAATTTATGCAAAGAAGTTAAGAATGAACAGACAAATGCTGCAATAAAAACAGAAAAATACTGGAGAAACTCAGCAGATCTGGCAGCATCTGCAGAGTGAGAAACAGAGTGAACATTTTGAGTCCCCTGTGACTCTTCTCAGAACTTAACTGTTCCAAAGCTAACAAAGTGTAGAGCTGGATGAACACAGCAGGCCAAGCAGCATCAGAGGAGCAGGAAAGTTGACGTTCCGGGCCTAGACCCTTCTTCA